GGCATCGAGCAATAATATACAATATTAATTTATGAAGAGAGAGATCCAGTTCATCATCCAAATGTCCTCCCATCGCATAACCTCGACTTTTCAGCTTAATTTCCGGTAACGCCTGTTTGAATTGCAAAATGCTGAAATAATAACCAAATTCGTAACACGACCTTTTCCTTTTAGGGGGAAGAAGAACGTGTATCATAGCTGTGCGACACGTTCGCGCTAAAGAATGCAAAGTCTTATAAGATACAATACACAATCCATTATTTTTTGCATTCACATAACGGGGCGCCTACATGCGTGGGTATCTTTGATAATAGCGTCGGAAAGGTGTCGGAGAAGCTGCGGATCGAATTTTTTGTAAAAAGAGAACGTCCCACTGAAATAGCGATGCAGCAATGAACCAACTCGATCGATTATGACACGTCGTATATCTATTATGCATTCGACGAATGAATTTATGAGGACAAATTTATGAGGAATTAAATTAAATGGGCCCCACACATTGCTCACTTGGAATTATTAGTATTCACTTTGGAATGATTAGGATCAATCCATAAAATAGTAAATAATTGCGCACTGTTCACGCCAATTCTCAATTGTTGTTATTTATTTATTTATTAAATTTGTTATCTCGAGAATTTCATTAATACTGTTACTTTTTAAATAATTCTGGTAGAACATTTTTTCATTGGAATCCATATTTCTGCACAACTCCAGATTTTGCTACGAACAACTGTAAACATCCGCGTAATAAAAGAACGAAGATTTTTTCATAATGCAAAAACTGTAATTCTAATTAATGCAAAAATTGTAATTCTAATTAAAATTATTCGCATTCCTAATAAAAAAACACGTAAATAATATTATTTCAATTTATGTACCTTCTTACATTATATTATTTTATCTTATTTAATTGTTTAATATATTGTATAAATCTATAAATATACATATACTTAGTAAGAGAATGAATTAAAATAAATTAATATTTTAATCCATTTAAATCTATACGAATGCGAAATTTCAATAGCGCAATCATGGTCCATTATTACTTTTCTTAGATCCAATTGAATTGAAAAACTGCATTTCCTTTTTAAAATTTTGAATTGAGCAGTATTCACAATGCATTCAAAGAGCTGAATTTTTTTTTAATTAAAGGTATAAAAGTGTGCTTATGCAATTCTTATAAATAAATAAAAATGTATTAGGATTCAAAAGGATTTAACGTTCATTTTAATGTTCACGAATGCATACTTCTGAAAATCTGAATCTATTTCACTCATTTCAATCTCATTTATTGGAAAGAAGACTTATAATATATAGATATGTACTACATGTATAGAGAACTATAAATATATGCAATAGTACATTTTTGCATGAAAATTAATTACAAAAACAATCAGTAATAAAGTGCGATACAACGCAAAGAATTGTCACTTTCTGATCAATAAAAATTTGAATCAATGTGATGAAATTTTCGGCAAAGGAACGGAGACTGTTTTTTATTTGCAGCTGTTCGCTTAAAAATAACTTCGAAACGATTTTAAATCGCACGATTATGTTGTGACGCGAACTCGCAGTGTATTTAATTAAGTTCAAATTATGATTGCCACATAATTTTATAAAGGTTACTTCAGTACTGCGACTTAACTGCCTACGCAAGGCCGCCTTACGATCTTTATTATGAGATTATTCGAGAAATTACCGGTGTTATTTTTATACAGAGTACCCTTTTTTATCACATAAAATTTGGCGCGTGGGCTGTGATGTAATTCATGAATCATTATTGTAACCGTTTAACGGATCGAAAGTCAACGGCTATCACGATGCAATGTCACGTTTTTATCTGTACAGGATATTCAGTAAACGATTTTACATCACGAAGACTCATGTTCCTCATGAAATTTGAGGTAACCGAAACTTCCTAGCGAAAATCCTAAATTACAAATACATTGAAAAACCACGGTTGTGATCAATTTAATCAGATTTCCAAATCATCTTCAATCTAAACTCGATCTTATTCTACTCTGTGCAAATCTAGTTTGCATTTATTTTTGTCAATCCACTCTCTATGCATCTTTACGAGACTGACGAATCTAAAAAGATAGTCATGGATTTTAACCAATTTTTTTTCTCCTTTTCTCAAACTTGATAAATTTTAATGAATTCGACACTGAAGATGTATAATATTTGTCTCGATATTTCAGTCAGACTTCACAAAATTTTATATGCGCATTTTACGAATTCTTGAAGAGAGAACACTTTAAATTTCTTGTAGTAAAATCTCACTCCAAAAAAATGAAAATACAACCACTCTTCACTTCTTGAAAAAGAGAAACAATTTTTACTCTTTTTAGGATGAGATTTCATTCCTTTGAAATATATATAAAAATTCATTCTAAAAAAAAATAAAAATTGTCACTTTTTTTAAAAAAATGAAATATTTTCATTTGAAATTTCACTGCAAGAAATTTAAAGTGAAGGCGAGTTTTCGAAAACGTACGTAAAACGAGATAAATAGCGCTTTCCAAAGTATATGAATATTTCAGATGTATCGAAATGATTTTTCATTATTTATCGAAGCGACGTCTTTATTCGCATGCATATTCGCGCTTGAGGAAGAGGACACTTCAAAATCTCATAGACGGAATTACCTAATACCACTTGTCCGAACAACTAACCTATCAACGCGTTGTAAACAAAATTGATCAATTGCGAAGATAATGGTACAAAAAAATATTTGGCGCGAATAGATCAAATCTTTAAAATTCGGGCCGATTCAAGGCTCCAAAGATGGATCCATAGGATCCACTATCCCACATTCTTATTTAATTCATACTATATTCGTCTCAAAATTTACAAATTATGAAAAAACTCTACATGGAAAGAACGATTTTGCAGACTTAAAAATTTAATTAGATACAGATCTGAAAATAATTTTTATGGGCCATCAAAATAATCATGCAGAAATATCAAATATGATGATATTCTAACGTTTTGAGTGTCTTACATAATTATTTTAATGATTCAACAAAATTATTTTCAGACCTGTATCTAAACCTCTTCGATATTTCAACAAAACTATCTTTTCCGGTACGATATGTTCGCCTACGGATTTTATTTATTGGCATTTAAAATTAGCATTTTGAAACAATTTTGACAAACAGAAGCGCAGAGGGGGGGCAGACCCTTGAAATGGGTTTCGTATCGTGAAATTCTTTTTTACATTCTCTCCCATAAATCTGGCGCGCAATTTTTGCGTCCACGTTAAATTATTCGTGCTGCGAAAGAGACAGACGAAAGGCAAATAGATAATCTCCTCCGTCGTAAACAGTAACCAGTAAATAAATAACGAAGTGATTTGAAAAATATGAAAATTTATTGTAGTTCATTCAATCATGTCTGTCGGATCGTCTTCAACTAGCCGTCAATATATCAAACAACATTCCGTCGACTCGGACGCGTCCGTTGAGAGACATAAAATTGCCCATTTTTAATCTACCGAAATTAAAATGCCCAGAGAGATCACAAGCCTTCCTTAATACTTTTTGAATTTCGCATGCACGCGGAAGAAGTGGGACTCGTTTCCTTAGAGTATTTTTAGGCACACTGTTCATATACACGCTCCCTTATGGCCCATTAATTTTTATTGATGAAACGCATTAATCTCAGCGTACGGTTTTTTCCTCGCTGCCGAGTACGCTGTTATTGCAAGTTGCGGTCGAGAAAATATTATTGATTAATTGGAGAGTCGCTGGCTATGTGGGCCATATTTAATTGTAATTTATCTCGAAAAGGACTCTCGTCTTCCGTCTTTCGAAAACATCGCGCGGATCGACTGGAGAAAGGAAGCGAAGGATACTTAACGTTAAATCTCTAACGTCCTACATCCAACATTAATTTTGGAGCAGACCGATATCTACGGTGAGCGGACTATTTTTCGTCGCCAACATAATACAATCTTGCATTACAAAAAAATTCCAGAAATGCGGATTTTCGCTTCATTTTTTAAGAAATTTAAATTCTATTTATAGGGAATGTGCAAGTTCTTATGTTTGTATCAGATTGGAAATGAAGATTGAATTGAATTAATCAGAAGAAAGAAAATTAACGTCAAATTTGATAAATTTTGCTTTGATTGGTCAAATTCAATCTTAATCCTAATTTCAAGTTTGTGATACAAACATTATAAATTATCCATTACAATCTGCACTCAGCATACTACAATCAGCGATCTTTCTATCCTTTCGACATTCCATTATTTTAACAAAATATAAAAATTAAAGTAAGAATTTTGTATGTATCCACTAAGCTAACATAATAACTTGACTTGAAATTAATTGAACCACTTTCGATTATTCAAGAAAATTGTAAATTTGATTTGCCTGATATTGCAAACTTCACTCAAACAAACAGGACGACTATTCTCTTACACTAATAACAATGAGAATTGATATTACTCTTCCTATTCCTTGTTATTATCAATTATTCCTTATGAAAGCAAAAGCATTTTTGCAAATTGGTTGAATAAATGCAGATTGAATAAATGCCCAGTTAACATCAATTAAAAATAACATAATCTATGTTACAATTTAAACACTCAATAATATCATATATTATATTACATTTATATTATTGAGTGCAAAATTATAATTAACATAGACGTAATGTTACTTCTAATTGGTGTTGTTTAACTGGATGAAAGAGTGCAGATTGAAAATACCGGAACACGATTCGGTACAATCTCGACAAACTTCGCTGCGAACAATACTTCACTCGCGGACAATTAAAACGCGCAGGTGTACCAAGAAAGTATTTTTTTGATGTCCACAGCATCCGGTGTCGAGCTTGTCGAAACGTTTACGGGTTTCGGTACTTGGGTACTTCAAGTATCCTCACGATGATTGTGCGGCCTAGCAGGATAGGCGGCGCGATAAGTGCGACGAAGCGTGAGTTACTCTTGCACACCCTCGTGCTCAGCAAACAAATCGAGTGCGTGTACTTACTTAATGTGTATCCTCCCGCAGAGTATACGTGTGTAACGCGCGTGTTGCTTAAAAGAAAGTCAATATAACTGACGCTGGTTTCGTATCCCTTCTTCTCTTATACCATCCTCCGGATCTGGCCAGTATCCCCCTACCATTTTGGTGCGGATCGCCGCTGTCCTTCGATATCCTATGCCGGTCAACACATCACATTGATTCCTCTTGGTTCATCCGAAATACCTCACCAATTTTATTCCCGCCACTCTCCGTCCACGGCTGCAGACTTCTGCAGACGAGACGGACGCGCGCCGACATTATCCATGTCGAATGTTTCCACGGGGTGACGAATGCTCGTCTGATGAACGAAACTCTTTATTCTAAAAATAAAAAAAGGATAAGAGCATTTTGTACATATCGAATTACAATCGAAATATAATAGTATTTTCAAGCACTGAAACTGAAACTCAAATATAATAATAATAACAATAATAAAAATATGATGATGACAATAATGTAATATAATATATTATAATAATAATTTAAATGTCTCATATATACACAACGCAGATGTATAGTTGCTTGTTATCTATGCGAATTCTTGAATCGTGCTTCATCAAAAAACACTTTCTTTTTCATCAATCGTAACGTGAAAAATTATTCTTACGTCGATATTACCGTTAAGGAAAAGTCGTTCCACTGATCGGCGATAAATTATCACACTAAACAACTCATATCCGTCACGTCCGATTACGTTTTGTCTTTGCGCTCAGCTGGCGCATTTCTAAGCTACTTCCTAAACGCGCTGCATCTCGCAAGTGTATGCAGATAAGTATTTCGCGAATTGAGATTTCTTCTCGGTGTGACGTTACTACTATTATTACGTTACTACTATTATTACGTTTTTTTTCATATGCCGGATAATGATGATGATGTATAATAATTTTCAATAACAATCCTAATAATAATAAAAAGTGAAAATAATTATGACATTGACCTATTATATAATTATGACATTGAACGTATATACCATAATGACTGAGTCCACTGATTCATGCAAATTTTCCTGTGACAAATCGAATTGTAAGAATGATGAATCAATTGTCGAGATTTTATATCATGCAATTGAAAATTCTAGGAATTATATGTTCAAAGTAGGAGCTTCGAGAATAATTCTTAAACCTATTTGAAACGCTCTAAAATCTCGCAACTAGATCTCAAGATGGAATTTTCTCTATTTGTAATTTGAATTAAATATATCGTGCATTTTTATTTTATATATATTTTAATATCTATATATTTTATATAGTGTGCATTAATGTGCATATATATACTTATATATCATATATTTATGTATTTTTGACGAACCACATTGTAATTGTGTTTTTTTATTTAAAGTAATCTAATTTCAAGAAAGATTAGAACATTTTGATTTAATAAAAATGTTTTTCAAAAATCTAACTTCTTATTTTACTTGAATTAATTTAATCTTAACTGAGTTAATTTTTATTCATTCAATTTTTAACGAAATTAAATTAGTCCTGTTTTACCTTTATTAATTAAATACGACTTAGAGCCGTTTTACTTTTATTAATTAAATGCGGCTGGTCTCACCAACTCCGATTAATCTAATCGATCGATTAAATGTTAACCGTGATTGATCAATTCTGCTAAACAGCAAATGCAATCAGTCAGTTCCAATGTAACAATCGATCGATTAATTATTAATCAGAGTTGATGAGACCGGTTCTTACACACATACAGTTTACAATATAAACATATGATTTATGAGACATCGACATCTCATATATATTATTGTTATATATAAAAGAATTAAATGCTGAGATGGCTATCTGATTAATTCTGCAGTGTGTAAGATTACTTATCTGAGCGAGAGAAATGTCAGATTACAGCGGATCTATTGAGAGATTTCGAATTCACAATGAAATTGATAAGCAACAATAACATTATCATCATTAAAAATCGTCATTTTATAAGTTGTAAGTTGTAAATACCATGTTTAAAAAAAAAGGAGTTTAAAAAAAAATGGAAGGATGGATTTCGCGGTCATGGCGGGTATCCAAATGGCCCATGCAGGTATCCAGAATAAAACAGCGTTACAAAAGAGATAAAAGAAAAAAAGAATGAGACCAAATATAAATATGTATATGTAGGCGGACGTCAGAATAATCAGGGATGCCATTTCACAGACGCGGCATGCTATACGTCATGTGAAGGGGATAAACTGGCAAATGGTGACGACGGCGATGGTATGCCAATCTACGTCATGCAACATACAACATACACTAAAGCCCATGTCACTACACGCATTAGAGAAATTTTAAAAATTGCGAATTGAATTATTATCGTTTTTCGATGAAATATGATATATCTAATTTTTCGTTTCGTTTTCTATTTCTATCTTTCTAAATATTATTCTCATTAGCAGATGTATTATTAATTTTATTCAAATCTAACTTCGACTTCAACGGTAAATTAATTATTTTTTCTTTTGTTTCAGGTTTCTCTTCGGATTCCGGCTTCATTCCAATTAGTTCACACAAGTCGCGCATGGCAATTAACACTTAAGGGTCTTCTATGTAGAAGTCGTAGATGGTCGTGGAGTCTTAAGTCGTAGGAAACTAACAATCACAATCAGATATAAGGAAAATATTCATCTACGACTTCTATGTAGAGGATCCTTTATCCATCGGTAATCCTGTTTATTGAAATGATAAATTATATCAGTTAAATTTTTTTTCTTGTTTATTTTTAGGGATCTCCGGATAAGCTCTGGGCTTTCTTTTCTAACTTCAGCTCATCCGTCAAAAAATTATCTTTCTTTCTTCCGTCTTGATATTTTGGAATTTATTCTTATTGAATAAAATATGTTTCATTAAAATGATATAATGTTGTTGATTGATCTTAATTTCATCAGTAAAGTCGGTATGGGGTTTAAATTTATCTTTCAATCCAATCTCGTTTTGTTATTAAATTGGTAACACGTATTCATCAACAGCTGCTCATTTCATTATTCTCTTCGCTAAGCACTATTGAATTGATTATATTAATCATTTCTTGCCTTTTCCTTTGTTGATTAATGGATTAATTCCAATGGGCGTTAGACTTCGTTTTCCGCCGTTACTGAGGAGTTTTCCTTCTTTTTTATTTTTGATGCCAAAATTTTAAATAATTCTTCTATATCATTCTCGGATGACAAATTGTCATAATCATCCACTTGTACGTTTCTTGCTTTGCTTCAATTTCTTCTTCATTGCTAAAACTATTTTCTTCGTTTTTTGTTTGAATGTTTTCTTCATCTTTTTCTGACTCCATTTCTGTTGATTTGGTTTCAGTCTAGATTGATGATTTGGTCACAACTGTTATGAGTTATAAACTCTATATGGTCCATCAAAAATTGTATCTTACGAGTCATGCATATATGTCTACTATTGTCCAATCGTTTGTGTATTTTAATCCATACTAAATCTTTATTTTGACATTCATCTTTAAATATTTAGTAGCCAATAAAATAATTCGCAGAGCATCTGAAGATAAATTTAAGAAGCCTTAAATATAAGGCCGACTATGAATACGGACATAAAAGTAGAGGAGAATTTATGTTACGTTTGGTAACGCACGAAATGATTTATGCAAAAATCGAAGAATCACATAGCCTAGAAAAAAGTCAAAAGGTGATCAGATAAACTGAATAAGTTTAAATATTCCCGGAAATACCATTAAATTCTTTTTTATATTTATAATACAATTCTACGAAATGTTGATATCTCATATAATGATATCTTCGCTTTTAAAGTAGCCTTAAAAGGTCACTTTTATTTTAAAACAAATTTGAGAATTAATATTATTTATTAATTAATATTTATAATTATAAGGAACAGAAAATGTACTTTTTATTCTTTTTTCCTTTTCTCCTTCCCTTTTTCCTTTTTACTTTTACTTTTTTTCTTTTTTATTATTTATTTAATATTAATATTTTTATGTCAACCATAAGATTCATCAATTTTTTTATTTTACATTGGTTCATTATAAGAAATAATTTAAAATAAGTTTTAAATCTATACAAATGCAAAATTTCTGCAAAAATAATACATTTTTCATCTACAAATATAGATATATATTGATACATTTTTTAAATTATATATTGTACTCTCAATATTACATCAAGTAAGAAAAAGGAAAAAGAAATTAAAGATTTAATACAACTTTAATTTTCCTATAATGAACACATCATGAATAAACTATATAATTAGTGTATTATGTAATGAGATACATACATAACATGGCAAGGTATGTACAAAACTTATAGATGATAAATTAAATCGTGACGATTGTTACATCTGTTGCATTGTAGATTCAGTCCTTCAATTGTGAGAAAAGACAAAAATATGCTGTATATCACAAGGTATTTTGAAGATCCTAAATTTAACTAACTAGAAATTATACGTAATTTTATATCACACAAGACTATGGTAATATGTGTCACATTAAATTTTACTACACTGAAAAACTTTCTCCACATCCACATGTCCCTTTAATATTTGGATTATTGAATATAAATTCGGAGCTTAATTTGTTTTCGGTGTAATCCATTTCTGTTCCGAGAAGAGATAGCTGTGCCTTGCGATCGATGAATATACGAACATCATCCTGAATCACCTCCTCGTCAAGCTTAGATTTTTCTTTTGCATAATCTAGGGTATAACTCAAACCATTGCATCCTCGTTGCCGTACTCCAACCTTCAGACCAATCTACAGATTAAATATAAACATTAATTCTTACATTATGTTCTAGTACATATTCTTAAAGCTCAAAGAACTCATTATAAATCTTTATATGTCCTAATTATTAAAATTACACATTTCTCAATTATTGTTATATGTATAATTCATATATTACACCTATACGTACATATTCGCTCTTATCCTTTAAAATCTCCTTAATTTTTTTAACAGCGTTGGGTGTCTAAAATGTAAAATGTTTCCTTATCAATGTATTTACATAAAATGTATCTTTGAAAAGGTTGATAAGGTTGATTATTCATTTTGGCATGTTGCAATGTTGCGAAATAGTAGAGCACAAGCAATTACGCAATTAGAATTAAGACGCGTCGTAAAATCCGTTATTAAATGCAATGGAAAGTAACCTCACTCGAAGAATATTCTACATTTCTTTACAAGCTTCTTTATTTTTGTTTTCTACGCGATGCGTTGAAAGGTTGCAACGTGAGTACGGAATCAATCGAAACAATTGCTTTTTTGTGAAAAAAAAAGGAAGGGGGAGATGTGAAAAACGGTAATGCGAGAGTATATAATTAATAATACGCTAACCAGAGTGAGCGCAGCGCGAGTCGAAAGAATTTTTCTCCCTGTCACAGCTCGTATCGTAGCGGTCGCCACCGTGGTGGATGCCATTTTAAATGAACCGATGTGCGACGGATCTGTCACTCTGTCAGCTGATCGGTGTCACGTGCACGTATTAAGTTACATCCACAATGCAAATAAAAAGTCACATCCACATTACAAATCGCGCGAATTTCTTCAATTGCACTTTCTGCACCGTTTTTTTGCCTTCTTTCCTTTTTTCTGTTCTGCGTTTTCTTTTTCCCTAATAAATTTGAAAATTAAAAGGGATTGAAAAGTTTACGGTATTTTCTTAAGATGAGCTTCAAAATTACGAGATCGCAAGGAGAGTTAACAAATTAAAATATTTCTAATTATTCCAAGTTTCCTAATCTAT